GCAAAATGACTCACATGCATTCTAATAGAAAGCTTGAAGAACTGGGAAAGAAAAGATAAATTGAAATGTAGTTGGGAACTCTTGGAAGCAAATGGTAAAAGACGACAGCTGCAGGTGCACCTAAATTAAAGCTCATTTCAATTTTTCAAAATAGTTATAAGATGATGATTGGAAATTTGTGGAATGATATATATAAGACCTCTATAACAGAACAAACTTAAAAAATAGTAAGAAAATTTAGTTTACTGTGTCCTCTTTCGATTTGGCTGCCGCAAAATGACTCACATGCATTCTAATAGAAAGCTTGAAGAACTGGGAAAGAAAAGATAAACTGAAATGTAGTTGTGAACTCTTGGAAGCAAATGGTAAAAGACGACAGCTGCAGGTGCACCTAAATTAAAGCTCATTTCAATTTTTCAAAATAGTTATAAGATGATGATTGGAAATTTGTGGAATGATATATATAAGACCTCTATAACAGAACAAACTTAGAAAATAGTAAGGAAATTTAGTTTATTGTGTCCTCTTTCGATTTGGCTGCCGCAAAATGACTCACATGCATTCTAAAAGAAAGCTTGAAGAACTGGGAAAGAAAAGATAAATTGGAATGTAGTTGGGAACTCTTGGATACAAATGGTAAAAGACGACAGCTACAGGTGCACCTAAATTAAAGCTCATTTCAATTTTTCAAAATAGTTATAGGATGATGATTGAAAATTTGTGGAATGATATATATAAGACCTCTATAACAGAACAAACTTAGAAAATAGTAAGAAAATTTAGTTTACTGTGTCCTCTTTCGATTTGGCTGCCGCAAAATGACTCACATGCATTCTAATAGAAAGCTTGAAGAACTGGGAATGAAAAGATAAATTGGAATGTAGTTGGGATCTCATGGAAGCAAATGGCAAAAGACGACAGCTATAGTTGCACCTAAATTAAAGCTCATTTCAATTTTTCGAAATAGTTATAAGATGATGATTGAAAATTTGTGGAATGATATATATAAGACCTCTATAACATAACATACTTAGAAAATAGTAAGGAAATTTAGTTTACGGTGTCCTCTTTCGATTTGGCTGCCGCAAAATGACTCACATGCATTCTAATAGAAAGCTTGAAGAACTGGGAAAGAAAAAGATAAATTGAAATGTAGTTGGGAACTCTTGAAAGCAAATGGCAAAAAACGACAGCTACATCTGCACCTAAATTAGAGCTCATTTTCTTATAGTACTAAAAGTTAGAAGTAGGAACCATTATGAGGAATACTAATGGAATGATCAGTTACAATGAGGAGGAATATGAAAGGCTGGAATAGTAACTGGTGAGACATTTTTTACAACGTTTTTTACAATAAAGAATAGAAAAGAGAGTAAGATAAGATAAATAGAAATTAAGAAAAAATTCCAAAAAAAGGAGAAAAAAGATAAATAGGATCCTGGCCAAAGAGAGGTGCCAACTCATCTTTTATTGTCCCAACTTTATATATATATATATATAGATATAGATATAGATAGATAGATAGATAGATAGATATAGATTGCTATCACTCTCAGCTGGACAGAAACACGACAACTATACTATTTCATTTATTCATGTTAAATTTTACAAACTAGATCCACACCCAGGCATCTACATCATATATGTACACCTTCTGTGACGAAATGTCAATCGTTGGCAACCATGGCATCCATGTTGGAACCATTTTCAATTCTTCGTATCAACAGTCTCTTCTCGGGAGGAAGGTCCTTCCCCTGAGAAGCATCGGCATCAACGATAACCATGTCTTCCTCCGAAAAATCTCCTCTTAAAACACCCATTGCTACTTCGTTCTCAACCATCTGCTGAATCACTCGTTTAATAGGTCGAGCTCCATAGTTAGGGTCGAAACCCATATTCGCCAGTAGACTGATAGCTTCCTGCGTGTAATGAAGATCAATTTTCTTCTGTTTGAGTCTGTCTTTCACCCTTCTCATCTGCAAAGAGAAAAAGAGATAAACTTGTCAGGTTCTAAGAAACTCCAATATCAGCAGTATAACTTCAGAGGGAGACCTTCGCTTTCTCACGATAGAGAGAAGGTTTTATAGAAAATGAAATAGATAATCAGCCGCATGTAATACATAGCACTCAGCAGTTCCACCTCGAATTATCTCATGAAACAGAAGAAAAATCTCTTCAAACAGAGAAGATGGACGAAATAAAGATAAAAGAGAGCAACTAATATAGTATGATAATGAAAACACACACAGTTTTGTTCTACAAATATTTTCAGTTAACGATATTGTCAGGTAGCCTCAGTAACTTTCTTTCCCATGAACCTCACCAAGGTTATGCTATGGCTGCAGATGCGATGATAAGGTTAAAATAAAGAAATAGCCAAACACTTTCCCCAAATAAAGAACCAGAAAGAACAGATATCAAATTATATTTCATCTTGGAGAAAGCTTAACCACCAGATGAAATGATATATTTTACATCATACTCTGTTAGAAAACTACTGCAAGAGAAGACATTAGACAGCATGCGATGCAGTTCTCAAGCTTGACATACTCAACCATGCACTCATCAGAAAGCAGCAAGGAGGAAAAACTAGGACGACCACCACCAAGTGAATGAGATGTACTTTTGTGTAATGTTGAGATCTAATGCACAAAAAGGGCAGCCTGGTGCACTAAGCTCCCGCTATGCGCGGGATCCGGGGAAGGGCCGGACCACAAGGGTCTATTGTACGCAGTCTTACACTGCATTTCTACGAGAGGTTGTTTCCACGGCTTGAACCCGTGACCTCCTAATCACATGGCAGCAACTTTACCAGATACACCAAGGCTCCCTTTTCTGAGATCTAATGCACACTAAAACATTTTTTTGCTCTCACACTGAGAAACTGAAATTAACAGAGATAACGCACAAACAGTAAACTGCTGTAGTGCTTATAAAGCTCTTAAAGTCAAAGTAATCAAAAAGCAGATGACACTGCAGCAAACAGAAAACAACACAGAAGAAAAACGTATGAAGTCAGGAGAATCAGAATTCAACAGATTACAGATCTGTATTACCTGGAGCTCAACAATTCTGCTAACTTGCTTAAGGTCCAGAGGTTGGAAAACAATGTATTCATCAATCCGATTCATGAACTCAGGCCGGAAAGTCTGTCTTGCCAATTCAATAACCTGCTTTTTCATCGCATCATAAACTGCCTCCTGGCTATCTCGAGTGTTTTGCAGAGTCTCAAGAATGTAATGTGACCCAATGTTTGATGTCATTATTACAACAGTGTTTGTGAAACTAACAGTCCTCCCTTGAGAATCAGTTATTCTTCCGTCGTCCAACAACTGTAAGAGAATGTTAAAAACATCATGATGCGCTTTCTCAATTTCATCAAAAAGGACCACAGAGTAAGACCTCCGACGGACCACTTCAGTGAGTTGCCCACCCTCTTCATATCCAACATAACCTGGTGGTGCACCAACCAACCTTGAAACAGCATGTTTTTCCATGTATTCACTCATGTCAATACGCACCAGAGCATTTTCAGTATTGAAAAGGTACGCAGCAAGAGCCTTTCCAAGTTCAGTTTTGCCAACTCCAGTGGGACCCATGAACATGAAGCTTGCAATGGGCCGATTTGGATCGGACAGGCCTGCCCGAGATCGCCTGATTGCATCAGCCACAGATTTTACTGCCATATCCTGACCAACAACTCTTTTGTGAAGTTCATTCTCTAGAAAGACAAGCTTGTCCCTCTCAGACTGCTGAAGGTTTGATAGTGGTATACCCGTCCACTTGCTAACAATTTCAGTAATATCAAGATCTGTTACTTCTTCACGAAGCAACGAACTCCCAGACTTCCGGTAGTCTGCCAGGTTTTTCTCTGCTTCTCCTAGCTGCCGTTGAAGGGAGATTAGGGTGCCATACTTGAGTTCAGCAGCACGATTCAGGTCATACTCACGTTCAGCAGCTTCCATCTCTAAGTTCACCCTGTCAATCTACACAACGAAAAAAAGTGAACAGTAATCATGAGAAAACAAAGAAAAACTGCAATTTTGATTTGACCTCATCAACGAAAGATGCAATTTACCTCCTCCTTTATAGAACGTATACGTGTCATCAGATCTTTCTCGCGTTCCCACTGTTCATTTAACTCTTTTTGCTTTGCCTTAAGGGACTTCAAATCACTTTCTAGCTTGTTAAGTCTTTCTTTAGATGCTTTATCCGTGTCATTTTTCAGGGAGAGTTTCTCCATTTCCAACTTTAGCACTGCTCTATCTATCTCATCCAATTCAGTTGGCTTTGAAGTAATTTCCATTTTTAGTTTTGCAGCAGCTTCATCAACAAGATCAATGGCTGAAAAGCAAGAACTGAGTATAAGTGAAAAGCCCCAAGTAACGTATGCCAGATCACACACAGCTAAAAACATTTAGAAGAAGCTTGAAATCTGGATCAATTGATCCATTCAATGCAATAAAACATCTAAAGAAGCCATAAAAATAAGCTACTTGTACCCCTGTAACTTTCTTATTATGTAAAAGTAACACTAGGCTGTTGTATTAATTTGAAGATATCATGAAAAACGTTCACAAGAATTTTATAGGAATGAAAAGCAAGTATTTCAGACAACTTGCAGTTCTAAGGATAAGTTAGCCTACCCTTGTCCGGCAAAAATCGCTCGGTGATATATCGATCTGCAAGAACTGCAGCTGATACAAGAGCGCTGTCTGATATTTTAACACCATGATGCAGCTCATATCGTTCACGCAATCCACGGAGGATGGAAATTGCATCTTCCACAGATGGTTGGCCACAATATACTTGTTGAAATCTGCGCTCCAGAGCAGGGTCCTTCTCAATGTACTTCCTATATTCATTCAAAGTGGTTGCTCCGATACATCTAAGTTCACCCCGACCAAGCATGGGTTTCAACAAATTTCCTGCATCCATGGCCCCACTAGTAGCTCCTAGACACAAAGCATAAGCAAACACAATGATTAGGAAGGTATAAACAAATAATTCTTTTAGAATATAACATATCAACATAATTTAACCAAGTAACATTCGCTGAATTAGTTGCTAATATAAGCCAGCTACAAACAGAAACTATATCTTGGGTGTAAAGGTACCTTCTCCTTTACCCGGTTGCATACATAAAGGACATCATCAGTAATGTTTAATCAGCTTTATGGAACAGAAAAATAAACCTACTCCAATCATTTCCGAGGTCCAGGCTCAAATTAACAGAAAAGTAAACTTTAGTTCAAGCATTTCCTAGCTCCAGGCTCAAATTTAAAAATGGATCACCTAAAACACAATCACGAAGCAATAGTGCTTTTTAACCTCACTAGAGAAGAACTAGTGTTTCCCAGTGACATCAAATGAATTAACCCATGAACTTTGGATTGTTTAAGATTGAATTAAGCAAGGAGAAAAATCATCCAACAAAAAGAGCAGTCACTACTTGCTGTCCACAACCCATGAGATTTGAAAGCAGAGAAGCAGTTTGAGTCAGCACTTTTCTTTAATATCGAACTCAATAAATAATAGAGATTTGATCTTTGAGAGAAAGATTATAGTTGGCAAATTTTCTAACCAGTCGGTAGAAATAAACTTTTTCCTTCATGGGGAAATGGATATTAAAAAAAAGCACCAGACCTGCACCAACTACAGTGTGTATCTCATCAATAAACAATATTATCTGCCCATTGGATGAAGAGACTTCCTTTAAAACAGCTTTCAGCCTTTCCTCAAAATCTCCACGGTACTTTGCACCAGCAAGCAAGGCACCCATATCGAGAGATATCAACTAAATAAAATGAAAAGAAAAAGGAAATCAACTTACAGTATTAGCACTTAAAAGTCGAAATTAACAAATCCTAATAGACAATTAAGGTTCAAGCTACAGAAGGCTTTCCTCGGAATCCCACTCTCAAATTTGAAACTTCAGAAACTTATGTCCAACTACTTTACTTTAGGAGGCATCATAATTTAGTTCCACTCTTTTTTAGAGAATTAGGTGGTTCGTTTCCTTTTCTCCTACCCCTTTGCTGAGTGAGGGGTTGGGTTCAGAAAAGAGAGCTTTTTTAGAGAATGAGGTGGTTCGTTTCCTTTTCTCCTACCCCTTTGCTGAGAGAGGGGTTGGGGGGTTCAGAAAAGAGAATAGCTCATCGGACTAGCTTAGATGATCAATATTTAGTTTGACATTTGAGTGCAGTGTTATGCATATATGGCTTTTGGTGCTGTACCTTCTCGTTTATTGTGAGAAGGCACGGGAGAAAATATGTTATTGATATTAGATGAATAATACAATACAAGAGGTCCTTATTTATAGCTATACTATACAAGGACATACTACTCTTCTACCAATGTGGGACAATACTACGCTATATACATGCTGTAAACTAACACTCCCCCTCAAGCAGGTGCATACAAATCATATGTACCGAGCTTGTTACATATATAACCAATACGAGGACCAGTGAGAGACTTGGTAAAAATATCTACAAGTTGATCATTCGACCTCACAAACTTTGTAGCAATCTCTCCTGAAAGTATCTTTTCTCTGACGAAGTGACAATCAATCTCAATGTGTTTAGTTCTCTCATGGAACACCGGATTTGATGCAATATGAAGGGCAGCTTGATTATCGCACACAAGTTCCATCCGACTGATTTTACCAAATTTCAACTCCTTGAGCAATTGTTTGGTCCTGACTAGCTCACATGTTGCCATAGCCATTGCTCGATATTCTGCTTCAGCACTAGACCGAGCAACTACATTTTGTTTCTTGCTCTTCCAGGACACCAAATTTCCTCATACTAAAACACAATATCCAGACGTAGAACGTCTATCAGAAGGTAATCCTGCCCAATCAGCATCTGAGTATCCAATGATCTGCTCATGACCTCGATCCTCAAAGAGTAACCCTTTGCCTNACGAGCAGTCTCAATAAGGTGCCTATTATTTCTCTCAGCAACCCCATTTTGCTGAGGGGCATAAGGACAAGATGTCTGATGAATAATTCCTTGAGAAGTCATAAACTACTGAAATTGAGAAGATAAATATTCTAAGGCATTATCACTGCGAAAAATGCGAATAGAAACACCAAATTGGTTTTTGATTTCAGCACAGAAACTCTGGAATATAGAAAATAACTCAGAACGATCTTTCATTAAGAAAAGCCAAGTACATCTTGAATAATCATCAATGAAACTGACAAAATAACGAAATCCTAAGGATGAACTAACTCTACTAGGGCCCCATATATCAGAATGAACTAAGGAGAGGACAGACTCTGCATGACTCTCAACACTACGCGAAAAGGAGGCTCGGGTATGTTTTCCAAGTTGA